GGAAATTCGTCGCACTTGATGACTTAGCCGTTATGGCGGATAAAATGATGGAAGTCTACCATGATAGTCACGGTGTGAACTCATTGCAACCACCTGGACCACTAGATATTAGCTGTTTAGTCTCCTTTCAAAAGCAGTTAACGCATTTAACGAGCCAACTAGCGTCTCTGCAATCAACCATAGCAACCATCCAAGCTAGACAATCGAGATCCCCCTCCAGACGAAGATCTTTTTCTAGACAACGGTCTAGGTCACCGAAGCGAACATCTGATGTTTGTTGGTACCACCAAAAATACGGCACCAAAGCACGGCGTTGTACACGACCGTGCACATTTTCTGCGTCTGACACGGAGAATCAGGGAAACGGCCCGGCCAGACAGTGATGGCGGCGCCTGTTTCTGGCCACTACCCGAGCCGTCTATTTCATGTCAGGGATCGAATTTCGGGCTCAGATTTTTTGGGCGATACAGGAGCCGAAATCAGCATTATCCCATTACACCTCTCTCAGCGACGGCACCCTCAGAGTACTAAATTGTCTCTAGTCGCAGCCAATAACACAGTCATTAAGACTTATGGCGAACAATCACTTATTTTAGATCTCGGTCTGCGGAGACGTTTCACATGGGTTTTCATCGTAGCTGAAATCAAACAACCCATTATCGGGGCCGATTTTCTCGGTGCTTACAACCTACTTGTAGATATGGCAAAAAAGAAACTAATCGACAAAAACACAAGCTTACAGGTCAGTGGCACAACTATCTCCAGTTACGAAATTCATGGAGTCCGTATGTTAAGACCTGAAAACAAAATTTTCACCGATATCCTGTCGAAGTATGAAAGTATAACCAGAGCTGATTACCAAAACGAATGCTCCACACATCATGTCCAACACAGTATTACTACTACAGGACCACCTATCCGCGCCAAAGCGAGAAGACTCCCTCCAAACAAGTTGCAGTTCGCTAAGAGAGAATTCGAACATATGATGCAACTTGGGATAATCAGACAATCTAACAGTCCTTGGGCCTCGCCGCTGCATATGGTTCCCAAGAAAGATCAAGACTGGCGCCCATGTGGAGATTATCGCCGTTTGAATAACCAGACTATCCCAGACCGGTATCTGATACCTCACCTGCATGATTTTTCCTTAAATCTACATGGAAAACAGATTTTTGCAAAGTTAGATCTAGTCCGAGCATACCATCAAATACCGATGGCACCTGAGGATATCGAGAAAACAGCCGTAATCACACCTTTTGGCTTGTTTGAGTTCTTGGGGATGCCTTTCGGACTAAAAAACGCCGCTCAAACCTTCCAGAGATTTATGGACGAAGTAACTAGAGGTTTGGATTTCGTATTTGTCTATATCGACGATGTTTTAATCGCTAGTTCTTCCACTGACGAACATGTTCAGCACCTACACACACTTTTTGAACGTTTCAAAAGTTATGGTGTTGTAATCAACCCTTCGAAGTGTATATTTGGCGCCTCATCTCTGGAATTCCTGGGACACCACATTGATTCCCAAGGAATTAAACCGCTTGAAGAGAAAGTCAAAGCCATCTCCAGCTATCCAGAACCAACCTCAGTAAAATCACTACGTCGTTTTCTCGGAACATGTAATTTTTATCGACGATTTCTACCAAATTGTGCCGATGTACTACAGCCATTGACAGATTTACTGAAAAACGATAAATCAGGTACCAAGAAAGAAAAGAACCAAATATTCAAGTTACCTTCCGATGCCAAAATAGCATTTGAAAAAGCTAAATCCATGATTGCTAATGCTACCATGCTTCAACACCTAAATACTGACCCCGCAACACTGTTGATCCTATGCACGGATGCTTCACAAAAAGCCGTCGGGGCAGTATTACAACAGCGGGTAAACAACACTATTACCCCCATTGCCTTTTTCTCCAAGAGATTATCGCCAGCACAAGAACGTTATAGTACTTTTGGACGCGAACTCTTAGCTATGTATTTAGCAGTAAAACATTTTAACTTTTTGCTACAGGGTCGTGATTTCATCATTATGACAGATCACAAACCTCTTTGCCATTCTTTTAGCACATCGTATGACAAACACTCCCCACGAGAAGCAAGACAACTGGATTATATCTCCCAATTTACCACAGACATCAGGTTTATCAAAGGTCACATGAACATTGTTGCAGATGAACTATCTAGGAGGGATATCAATACGATGGTACTCAATCATGACATCAGCCTTGAAACCTTAGCTAAATTACAAGCAGACGATGCAGAATTGAAAGCCTGCAAAGAAAAGTCTAGCTTAGATCTCAAACCTGTACCGATTCCTCTTTCAGATACATTTATCATGTGCGACACTTCAACAGGCAACAATCGTCCGTTTGTCCCACACGCTTGCCGACGAAAAATATTTCAGCATTTACATGGTCTTTCACATCCAGGCATCAGAGCAACAACAAAGCTCATTACCGAACGTTTTGTGTGGCCTAAAATCAACTCGGATGTTAAACGTTGGACACGTAACTGTCTCCAGTGCCAACGCAGTAAGACGCAAAAACACACCTACAGTCCAATTGGGAAGTTCCCTATCCCTGACAAACGCTTCCAGCACGTGCATTTAGATTTAGTTGGGCCTCTGCCACCATCAAACTCTTTCACACATATCCTCACCGCAATAGATAGGTTCACAAGATGGGCCATAGCATGCCCCATTAAAGACACATCAGCAGAAACAGTCGCTTCAGTTTTCCTCGACCGCTGGATATCCAACTTTGGTGTACCATCAACAATCACAACAGATCGCGGTCCCCAATTCCAATCCGTCCTATTTAACGAGTTCACTAAACTTCTTGGAGTAAATCATATTAAAACGACAGCGTATCATCCGGCAGCTAATGGCATGGTCGAAAGATTCCATCGCCAATTAAAAAGCTCTCTGATGGCACAATCGGACTCTTCAAAATGGAGCGATGCCTTACCGCTCGTTCTCCTTGGGATTCGCTCGTCAGTGAAGGAAGACATCGGATGCACGGCCGCTGAACTAGTCTATGGCACGACATTAACGTTACCAGGACAACTGGTCAAGAATGAACCCACAACGCCAGGAGACCCTACTCGTTTTGTAAGCAGATTACTACAAATGATGCAGAACATCAAAGCAATACCACCTAGAGAACACAACAACCGAGTCCATCTCGATAAACATTTAGAAACGTGCAAATTTGTTTTTGTTCGAGTAGACGCGGTGAAAAAGCCACTGACACCACCGTATGAAGGTCCTTATAAAGTAATAAAACGCACTCACAAATATTTCATTATCAATAAAAATGGGAACAAGGAGACAATTTCCATTGACCGAATAAAACCAGCTTTCTACGAAGTCCCTCAAGCCACAGACGACAATACTGAGAACAAACAATCACTCCCATCAACTGCTAAGAAACAAGGGGAAGAGGAAACACTTAGCACCACACCCTCTTGTTTAAGACGTTTTGGGAGACTTATAAAAAACCAAAGCGTTATGTACATTTTGCCATATAAAAAAACAACAAACAAAACAATCAAAGCAAACAATTATCGAGGACCTACACTATTAATCCCATCTAAAAAATTTTTTTTTCTTTTCACAGTGTTCATAATTAATCACACTTTTTTCCACAATTATTCGTTTTGTCATATTTTTTTTTAAAAAAATTGTAACAATAATAAACGGATATACTCTTTTTAATTATTTATTCATTATACACAAAAATAAACGGCTCAATTTTTTTTGTATTCGTTATGCTATGCTACATTATTGCTATTCTCAAACGACAACACACTCCATCTTATTAATGTATATGTCATATCCATCTCTACAACTTTTGTTGGTTATAACTGTAAATATTATTTTTGTATATACACATATATCATATTCTTACATTTTTTTTATTATAACCAGTGTTACCTCCGGACACTCTGGGGGGAGCTATGTGGAGATAGATCTGACAAGCTTATCTTGTAAATAGTTTCTAATATTATTTGTATTTGTCAATTTCTCACTGAATGTACATTTATCATTAAATGATTGTACCTGTTGTTTAAGTAAAATGACCTTGAAGACTTTTTCCGTTGTGTTACTAACATAGCGTGACATACTTTCGGTGGTTCGCAAATACACTACTACGCACATACCCATTGTTCTATTCTCGCTCGTTACCGAGTCAATTGCGTTCTAAACTGGATATTATCCTCATTTTAGACTGCTGTGTCATTTCCATCATATCCTACGTCAGGGAAACTTATTGGCGTCATATTTACCTCTGTGGAATTATTACGCATTTATAATTGTGGATTTATGGGACCAAAACTCAACAGAATACGCAACCACTAGCCGATTTAAGTAACGTCCCTGAATTTTTAATTTGTGTTGTTAATTTATAAATTATTATTGTTACATTAATTTTGGACGTAATAACTTTATCACTGATTTTTGGTTATTATACTTTTTGGTCCACCACATACTTAAGGTTATGCAGGTGAAAATCATTAGGGAGTTATTAAGTAGGTTACGAAGATGAGCTCGAGTTTGGTAAGTATTTGTCATGTAGAAAACTTCACTCGCGTAATTTGTATGAAAGCAATGATTTTCATTTCGCAATGCCGAATGGGTACGTGACAGCACACACATCAATTTTTGGTTCTTCGAAAAGTAAATCGAAAATATCAGTATATACAGGATTTTTTACTTTGCAGGGAGAGGGATTCAATACAGTACTAGTATGCTAACAGCCAGGGCATTGTTTCGCAGAACAAACGAAACAGTATCGTATCCACAGTATATGACTTCACTGATCTTTCAGTTGCACTCATAGAATCCTACGCTGCATTGAAGGGGATATTAGTTATTACGTTAGTCGCACTGTGTTTTTATTCTCTGTACCAGTTTGGAAAACGATTCTATATCGATTACTAAAGTTTAATTATGAACTCGTTGGAATAAAGATTTGAAAAATTCAAGTACTTACGGCGGAACACTTTTGATCAGTTGTCGCGAAATAATTGGTTATTATCCTGTGCATAAACTCACTAGGTTCTAAAAATAGCCAACCCTCGTCTACGAAATAACAGTCAGATTACAATCCACCATTTCATACCATTACAAAGCATTGCAAGGCCAAATATATCACGCTCGTGCAGATCCATAGAAGAACATACGTCATGGAAGATATCTTCAACAAGAGTATCGTTGGTGAATTTATAGCAAATCTCCTTATTATTCAAAAGGACAACCTTTATATTATTAATATAAGGATGTTTTGGGCAGCAAAGAAACTTAGGCATCAATATTATATAAGGAGAAGACAAACGTATGCGATAACAAATTGTGGTGTTTGATTTATGTGCAAAACGACACAGGTCCAATTTCAATACCTATGTATCATTCAATAAACAATAACATTTTGATGAACTAGAAGAGAGGGAATGATTTCTTCATTTCCTTCGATCCGAAATTCAGTTAACCCAGATAACAGACTGTTGAATGAAGCTTTGTTGAGGACATTAATGAAGTCATTGATGGCTGGATATGTATGGAGCATTTCATTATTGAGTGCACACAACTTTCAAAGCCTAAAAACAGGTCTGATAAAAAGGAATAACTAATCTAAGCACCGTACGTCCCTTCAGAAAGAATCTAGTTTTCGTCCGGGTGTTAAAGCGGAATCCTAGCGATATTTTCTGGTATCTTAACGATCATCCGGTTATGCTTCAAGCCAATAGATCTCGTGTTTGCGTCTTGTAGCGGTAAATAAATCCCTAAAATCAATAGCTCTGTGTGCCTTAGACATTCAGTGCTGACCACATTAGTTTTCATGGATTCACCTTGCTGAAGGCGCTCGGTCATGCATCTGTACCAGATCATGAATGGGAAAGCCGTGTTCAACATCGCCTGCAATCGCTAGCCAGATTAGATCAGTCGGTCCTCGATAAATTAATAACCTATCAATTATATCTTCGAACCTCCTCACTTCTGTCATTCGATTTCATTTGATGGGTACGATTATTGTAAGAAGGTGTTACTGGTTAAAGCGTTGTCAAACTCCAAATACCTGTGGCATCTTCAGTCTAATAGCTGCCTTCTTGCTCAAACTTACAAGGATACCACCAGTTATTTTTGCAATCTGTGTTAAAATACAAATTGATTGAAATATGCTTAGTGAGTCCGCAATAAAATTTGCCCTCTGCTTTTGTGAATCTACTGAGTATTCTCATACATTTACATTTACCTGACAGACCAAAGACATCAATTTCGTTAGCGGACACATTGTTTAGAATGAGGATGAGTATATGTATATAAACCACAGGAAGGTGAGTGTTTAAACTAAATACATTACTAAAGTGATCATAAGGTGCCTGAGTTTTATTTTAATAGCTTTCCGCCAAGGACGAAGTATAACTTTCTCCACATAATGCTGATAGGCCGTTTCTCTCACTAACCAATCTAAGGGTCTTGGGAATTGTATAGAACCTGTTTACAAGCTTTTCTCCAAAGAATTTAAAGAATTGCATAGGAACAGAGCAAAAATATTTTTGGTTTTCGATATGATGATTTCGCCTCACTAGCACTCTCTTACCTGAAAAATTCCTGCAAATTTTTTTCTATGAGTAAGGGTACGAATCTGGTAATTGGATGCCTTGGTGTAACGGAAGCTACCTGTGCTGTCGTGGCCTTTACGTACAGACTCCAAAATACCTCGAAGCCATCTGGATAAAAATTTTTTACTCTATATACAACCTACTGAGAACGCCGAGTAATTTTCTCATAATTGATCTTCAAACGTTTCGTCTGACATCAGCCGTTATAGGTGTTGGCAACATGTGAATCGAAAGCCAGAAGAGTATGGTCACTCTTGTTTAGAGGTGACATAATCTGGGTTTGTGCCGTCGCCCTCACAATGGCATCATCGAATATCAAGACCCCACCACCCTTAACTTCAAAATACTAAGGTCATTTTCACCGGTATCTAATCTTAGTTTCAGTTCTTTTCAGATTCGATCTTATACTATCAACTAAAGGCGTTTACCGGTAAATACTCCTGATTCCATCAGTTCGTCCATTTTGTAATACCACGCCAAGAGAAACGTGTGCCACTTTCAAAAGCCAACTTGGTTCTTTGTCATGTCCCTATGATTATCTGGCTTATGAACCTATGATCGACTGAACACGAGGGCATATTATCTTTATTTTAATTAACACTTTTGTCAACATAATGTCAAGATCGAAGCGATTAAACAGAACTTTCATCATGATTATGAAAGTTGACTGGATCATCAAAATTGATGTACCTACCGATTTTTAACTACTGTTAAAGTGATCGGCTTTTATGACACTAGATCGTTCCTTGCTCTTTATTCATGTATGTAATTAGCTCTCACTGGATTGGCTGTCCTACTCATGGTACTCGCACCGCGAGATCCTGAAGGACTTTAAAAGGATTGAGTGGACAGACGAAGAATCCTGTTGTTTTTATAGCTATACAATCGGTATATCTGGGCGTTTCCTGACTGCTGCAACTTAAAGGTCAAAGCACAGAAGAAAATTGCCTTCCAGAGTTCTTATTGCTGACCGTAAATTCAACTGCACAAGGGAAGTCATCAGTCTTTTCAAATACATGAAGGAAATGATTTTTCAGGTATACAAATATGACTAGGAAAACGAAGAGTATGGTGCCAAAAAATGGAGACTGTTCTTAAATCAAGGAATTTACTTAAAAGCGACGTCCTTCTCACATCTAAGTAATAATGAATAAATTGATACATATACATATAAAACCGATAAAAGGTACGCGTTATGCGGTTGATCATTTACGGCTACAAAAATAAGCCTGTAGAATAAAACTAGCACAATGTGAACTGTATCAGTGTGACACTTCCGGCAGTAAATAAATACCTGAAATAAAGTTTAGGAAGTTTTTGATATTGAAGCAGCCGCACAACATCACGTACTTCGGCAGCTAGTTAGTCTACATCATATACTCCTTTGTCTTTCCTGTATTATGTTGAGTCAATATGCATGTACGTGAAGAAACCTACAAGTGTATATTTACTTCTCTCACCATGTCCAATGTTATTGCTCCATCTATCAGTGAATCCTTTGGTTCATCTGACATTAATCTATCATAGTTTACGTTCTCACTTTTCTTGACTCTAAATTTTGATGACTGCTAGGTTTTGCTTTAATCGATCGTATATCCTAGTAACTGCCGTAACGGAGAACCCAATTCTATATCTACATACTTCATGTTAATTCCGAGAATTTCAGGTTCAACCGATGAATATCGAGTGCCCTTCATAAAGTTCAGCGAATGAAACTCTAAGCGTCACTAAGGGTTCATATCGATGACCAAGGAATTTCTACTGAATGGATTACATAACAACATTTATGTTGCCGTATTGAGATTCGATAATGTGGAATACCTGGCCTGGCCTTCGTAATTTAGCTAGATCTTAACTTTAAAGGATCGCCTTCTATAGGAAATCACGAGGTTCGTAAGCATACTAGGGTTAAGCGGTTTGATTGGAAGTCGTGAGTCTCAACTGACTGTTTACTTATTGTTGAGTTTAATGTTTAGTTAGACAGACTGTTTTAAACAGAATGCACAAACTACAACATCAATGTCAAATAATTAATATGGTACAAATGCATGCTATAATATTACGGCAAAAGAACATCGGTGTCATACATGCTGACAGTCGTGTGAACGTCCGTCTAGGTAATAGTTTAACAGTTGGAGTAAGCAAAAATTATTTAAAGACTATAGTGGAGTTCGTGGGAGGCTAAGTCATTTAGATATTTCCCGACCCGTATTGCACATATCTAAATAGGAGACGAAATTAACACGACATACGTAAAGTGACTTCTGATGTGATGAGTCTACCACGGTTCTGGAGAGCATAAATGAATACGACTTACACGAGGATATATAACTGCATGTAAAATGATTTGCTATGCTTAAATGAAGTAATGCAAAATCAGCAATTATTATATGCACGTGTATACTATCACCGAACGTTCGGCTTTTATTTATTACGTCACAGGTTTGTCAATGGAGTAGTCCCATTAGCTTTCACAAAATAGGAACTCTTTAAATAGAAGTCTGCAACCTATGTAGACAACTTTCATTACAAAGTCTGGCACTTAATACAGTGATGTGTATAATGATATTGAACGGACGGGAATATACTATCCCAATTGGTGAACATGAAATTTAAAAATATTCGATAACACGATTTTCTTGACCAGCGTTCTCATTGTTTGCGACCCAATTTGGATGAAGATAGCAGTAGTAAGAAAGGAAACATGAAATGTAGACGAGTTGTCTGGTCGAAACTTTTTTCCATTTCTATAATATTCAGTAAGATGCTCGTAGTTTGTCAACCGAGAAGTATAAGCAAAAAGCAGTTGAAAAGACCAATAGCTTCTTAAAGAACAAACACGCACACGAAGGACAATGACATGAACATGATAGACTGTTACTAGTTTTAAATAAAAGTGAAGGTCAAATGGTATAACATAATCTGCTGTACAAAAAGAGAAAAGTAGCAAGTAGTTCTTTTAGAACTTAACTCACACAACTGTTTGGAACGCAGTGCATCAGTAACGTTAACTTGAAACAATAACAGAATTGTCATATACATCTTAATTTTTGGGAAAAAAGCAACACTTTCCCCAAAGTAAATGGGCGACGTTTACTTAGGACACATAATGATAAGTGGCAGCGTTACTTGAGTCTCTTTTCATATAATCTCGTTCAATTAAATTTTCGATACGTTTCTTCACATCACTTGCCTATATATATACAAATGGAAAAAAAATCAGTAATAAAAAACTATCCAAGGTAAACAAACCATGAAGTGTGGTTTTGAAAAATTAAATAAAAGGATGCTATTTGTACATGTATTAGTTACAGGATGATAATAACCAAAACTGTATCCCACTATTGCCTTTACCATTGTTATTCTGTCAAAAAGTCAATAAGTGTTATGCATCCTTGAAGAACACGACCTACACAAAATATATAACCCACATCTTATGAAGCAAAAAATTAGATCTCATAAAACCCCGCTCATTCGTTATAAATATTTGGTTTTAGGGATATAAATTGAAAGTACATAATAGAAAGCAGTCCATAGAAAAAAAAAGAATACTCACTCAGTCATGGTATGGGTCAACAGTAAAAGCACGGTTGAAAGTTACTTCCAAATAATTCCTGATCGATTGTACATTTGTGCGAATTTGGAAAAGGATTCGTATTCATACTGATTAATTTAGTAACTAAGTTAAGTTTATAAAACCCATACTTAAATATTCTCTAATTTTTGTTGATTTTCAAGTCGCTGAAATGAAACCATTTTAAAGCCGTAACTGGTAGCTTGGGACATATGCACGCTGTAAAATGATCAGGATATGAGATTATGCGATCACTAGATTACATACTCGATCGATACACAGATACGGGATTTACGAGCAAAAACATAAAACCAGAAAACAGTTTAGTGATACAAACACTAACAGTCACACACACACACTCAGTCTAGAGTAAAAATTAATCTCTTACACAACACTGAACTATACGGTAGTCTACACACAGAGCAGACTGCTTTTATTTGCTCAATGGACAATCACAGATCAGTACCATACGACGTATCAAAGGGTCCACGAAAGACTTTCATCTGATATTTTCCAGTCTACAAAACCCATGATAAGTTGAGATATTTAAATAACTATTTTTAAAAATTCTAAATTTATTGGGAAGCTGGTCATTGTGGTAATTCAAACTTGTGAGACATAACTACCAAATATACTTAGATTACATATAATCAACAGATATCTTCGCAGGACTTCTCGTATATTGGGGCAATCAGTGATATTGACAAAGGTAGACAAAGGTTTTATAAAAGTTCATACAACTGGAAATACTAAGTTTAAATGACACTTACTTTAAGTGGAAACTGTAATTGCTTGTAGACTTCTGATAATAATGAATTATGGTCAATAGTTTTACGCGTTTTCATAATTCGTACAATACAACAATCTACATGAGCAACACGATCAGCAAACACCCGTTCTTCAGTAGCCACTTGTTCTTGTTCCTAAAATAAAGGAATGTATGTGTCCATATTTTGAAGATATAGACTATCTCATGGATTATTACAATTCAATTTACTGATGAAGTGTGCTAAGATTAAGCCAAACAACTTACATTCATATTGAAATTGAAGTGCTAACTTAGTAAACGAAAATAAAGATATGACTTTTTATGATGAAAAATATTCTTATTATGTCTAAAATATCGATGCACTGTATAATTAATTTACAGTCTGTTTGAATGACTACTGCTCTTCAGTGACGAAGCTTTTGATAAATCCAATTTGACTAATGATTCGAATAAGTTTCCAGGCCCACAGTATACACTGAAATTGAGGATAGCTAATTACACTACTCAGTTTGATTTTATAATCAAGTGAATGAACATTTAACACTATTTAGTCACAGAGGATAGAGTTAACTATCTATAATTACTTTTTCAAATGATATAAATGGTACTTGAGTATTTAGTATGATATTACAATGTTATCAACCTGATAAACAATATATTCGTATCCATTTAGTTTTTAGATTAAACGTTTTTTAACGTTACAACATATATTAGATCAAATAAGTCATTGATCAGTTAGAAATAGTAAACAGTCCAAACTATGAATAAACAGTGAACATTTGTTAGTTAAGATTACTTTTTATTTACCAAATGTCAATCATTGAGTTTACTTTAAACAAACTAGAAAGTATTTCTAGGCTTTATAGAAGGTCATAGGCAACACTTGAAACTTAATTGAATTGCCTACTTTCCAATAAAATTTCTACAAGGTCATGGGAAATGGATCGGTGATGATTTTTATGAGACCATTGTATACAGTGGTAATCCGTTGGTCAGATTAACCATTACATTAAATATTTTAGCAACACACTAATATGGGAAAAACACTGAGATCAATGCTAAATCATTTCAAAGTAATCGATATGAAGAACTAATGAGTAAAAAGAACCTTACAGTTTCTTTTAGTTGAACCTGATTGAATTTGATACGCGTAAGTCGATGATGAAATTCGGTGTTGAAAACAAACTGATGATCGTTTTCAATCTCTAGATTCTACAATAAAAATTAAAAGAGGAAAACACATACAGATCACAAATTAAAATATTCCTACTTCAAAATACTAGTTACAAGTGTTTGAAAGTTAATGATAACACTTAACTGCCCAGGTGTCCTTGAGTGAAGATTGAAATCATAGGTTAAGTAGTTGAAAATCAAATATTTTAATCACTATAACATTTTTTTACAGAAAATAAAATAATGAACAGAATGTATCCGACTATAAACACATCAATATGATATGATAGAATAACAAAGTATTAGTTTAGGTTAACTCATCACTGTTATCTGTTTGTTTAAGATGTTAATTTTTAGCGCCCTGAAGGTATTGAGAGATATGTAAAGAAATAGTAAAACAGAAAGGAATGGGACAATAATTATAAAAAATAGAAAAAAAACTACTTCCGGATCACTGTGAACCTACAATCGAATCCATTTATGAGTTATTTATGCCATTGAAGTATGAAATTCTTTACTGCATAAAAGGCGATAAAATAGGCTGACACATTTCAAGTTAAAACCATTACCTTACATTCACGACTCCATGTTACGAGGTAACTTGTGTTATGATTACTTTTAGCTAGTACATATTGCATGAGCTGAGAATTCATACATAAACGAGTGCTCGAATTACAGTGACCATTTTGTAAGATAAGATCACTAACTGAATAATGATTTCCACCATTTTCAAACACATCACAAGACCATAAGGTTGCTCCACAAGGGTGTGGACAGCATTATGGAAGTGGTAGTAACAGTGAATCCTTGATTTTAAGAGACTAGGTGTGATATACTTAGTACGGAATAGCTTATATTGAATGAATAGTCACCCGATCCTTAGTACCCAGAACTAATGTCGTATAGGTGTAGAGTGATCTACACAAAAATTAACTACGCTGATTGATGTCATATGAAGATTAACATTAAAATCTTGGTCAGCACCTGGACAACAATCTAATTGCAACTTCGCAACTGCTTAAAAGGGGAATACATATACAGGTTTCTGTTAATCGTATAAAAGTACTTTACATATAATATACAAACGAACCCTAACGATCAATTGATTAAGTACGGGTAATATGGCCTATATAATGTCGCCAAACTAAGAGGAAGTCACGATGATAAATAAAATAATTGTAACAATATGAAGAAGATACAACAAGACATGCGATAAGACAATGAGCAGAAATGTATCTGCTACAAAATCTTTATTTGCTTTCCTACTATGTTACTTACAAATTCACCTAAACTCAGTTTCAGTGAAATGCTATGCTAAAATTGGAGTTTATAAACACTTATACATTTCGAGTTTTATGCTGTGGGATAGAATCTGGTTAGAAAACCATTGGAGACCAGGAAGCACTGGAAAGTCATTCTGTTTCAGTATGAAAGTCCACAAGGGTGCGCATCCACGATTGCACCAGTAGTCAAACGCAGAACGTTCAAGCCTCATGGCGAGTGCGCTTAAACTTCAGATTAATAGACTAAGATATGCGAGTTGCAGTGGAAAGTACAAAAAAATACCGATAGAAAATAGTTTACTCACACCAGGATTTTTTTTCAAAACACGTTGTCCTTTACCAGCAGCTAATGAAAGTAATGTTCGTTTCAATTCTTTTTCTTCGATACCAGTATTTTCAGCTATCGTTGTATAAGTAATAGGAGCATTATCTGATTGATTGAATTGCAGTAACACTAAAGCTTGTAGTTCAGATACTTGTAATTCTTTACGAAGATTTGGTGTCTAGACAATGGGAAGAAATCAAGATGAAAACAAAGGAATAGAACCGTAACAATTTTGTCATGTACTGAGATTAACAAACATGATCACTTAGTAAGTCACAACGTAGGACCTGCAATTATTTACACTGATTTCAGTTGCCGTAACCCGTTAGCACAAAGAGATGAAACCATCAGGCAAAATCTCAGAATAGAAGAGATAGTATTAGTATGAGTGGTAATACGAAAAACTAGGCATCGAAGATACGGCTTCGAAAAGAAAATACAAATTAGTGAATTAAAAGCACAAGCGTTATGAAGAATTTAGAATCTCAGGATTTGAGAGAAGACAATGAATGAATGCACCTGTATCATCATAAATGATTTTGAGCCGTGTCAGCCAGTGTCTAACCATCGGGTACGAGAATCACCCGGACCCCAACCAGGTAGTCTGTACCAACTAACATGGCTAAGTCCAGATGTCAGTAACTTTATGGACTGATGCTATGTTCTGGTTTGGCCGTCTCTACCTTTCTTCTAGCCTACTCCTGCACTAGAAGACACCACCTATTGAAGTAGGAGGGTAGACAAAAACAGTACTGCTTTTATGTCTGATAAATAAATAGTTGCTTTTAGTCCAGTAAAAAAATACCAAACTTAAAATAATTGATAACATTCATACAATGTGTATATAATGTTCTAATGAATTGGAAACTGAACATGATGACTAGCATACAATAATTTAAAAATTAATTTAAAAACGCCAATGATGACAAAATACACTGAAACTAGAAGAAAAGTTGTCGGATGAATGTGAGACAGTTGAAAATATTTAGGATTTGTTTAACTGAACTATCAACACCTGAACAAGTAATTTCACTTGATAATTCTACAATCTCTTATATAACAACAATATCTGTACACATCAGAGTTATCAAATGTGAATATTTGTAGAATAATATTTACATTGCAATAAATGATTATCGATTCTGTGTGAGATATAACTAGTAGTGAAACATTTTGATTACTCCTAACTCTGACCAAATAAACGTAAGTTTGTATCATCAAATTACAACAAAAAATTTTGTATGAAGGTTAGAGATAAAACCCTAATTTTAGTTGATGGAGCATGTTTGACCATTTCTCCAGCCAATAATTAAAATATAAGTATTCTAATCATCAGGTTGCTATTACACTTAATCATATTGAAAATAAACGTAATAAATATTCTACTGAAGAAAATGAGTAGCTACATATATCACACATTGAAGAACAAGTTTTACAAGACATTGAAGCGATTCAATTATGGCAATCAAAACATATGCTAATTTAGTAAAGATTAAAATCATATTCACATCAGATTATATGATATCAGCAACAGAAAAGCTACTTTACTGAGCAAGTAAATAACACACTGATGAAAGATTCGGAATATAAACAGCCGGAAAAAAGCAAATTACAATATTTATTTACATAGTATTAGGAGTTAGTATCTGTTTACAGTTTAAGTAAAAGCACTTGCTATTAATTTCGATTTCAATACAATAACGACAGTTTAAAATGTCAGAAAATTAATCACTAGACTTGATTAACATACTGTTTAAATAGATGCCTTAATATTATTAGTGTTCATTAAAGTGATTAGATTAAAAAATGGGAGACCTCAATGTTAGATTGTTGGAGATAAGCGTTAAGAAATCCTAGAGACACATCAGTAAAGTCATTTACAATCTTAAAGTAACTGTTTTTTCTCATTTGAACTCGTATTATGGCTAAAGACGTTACTGCCAACGAGTGATTTGTGTCACGACTGACCATATAACAGTCTACCTAACGTTGAACAGCAAACGGTGACATTTTATTTATTTAAACACATAAACATTGGTACAAGGAAGCACTAACTAGACATGCTCCACATAAATCATTTGATTTGTGTGAAGGTTGAGATACTGCCCGAAGCAGGTGGTTTTCTTAGGCAGCCACACCTGGGTCCTTTGACCTAGAGGTCTAATCCATAAGGCAGTGGAACAACGTAAGGAGGTGAAATCCCATAGTAGCTGGTGACCAGAAATAGGTTTATGCATTACTTGTTTCCTTAGGATTCTCGAGTCCATGTTCAACATCAGTTTGGCATCAGGGTTTTCCAGCTCCCATACGTGGATCCTCCGTATCGACCAACCCCGTTAAAGCGCCGGATATTCGTGGCCTGCTTGAATATCTGAGATACATGTTCCTGCCATCTGGATATTTCAACAACTTATCTGTTTTCTTGTTTGTTTTAACACATAATTATGCCTATTGGTCTCATAACCTATTCAGGGGCGTTTGTGAAAAGTTTACGACATTTCGCTGTACAAGTTACAAAAGGGCCCAATCACAGACATTGTGGTTGCTGGTAATCATCGAAAAGAATATACATTATTCAGATGTCGATTGTTGGACTGCTAACATCTAACTGGCGACTACTCAATATTTATCGCAAGGATCGATCAAGAAATAAGAAAGAGAAACTTGTTGAAATACTCTGTGCTGAAAATTCTATATTGTACCAAAAATATAATATTCAATAAAGCCAATAATAATAACTTTCATCCTCTCAATTTTGTAAACAACACCCCCGCCGCGAAATGCTGTGAGTACGACTTCCTGGCAGTAGCTGTATACGCGTGGCCATGTGAGCGTTTCGAGAGAGAGAGAGAGCTGACTCTCCCCACTCTCAGCCGTACCAAGGGACTAGTCTCTTAGACTAATGTATGCATTAAGACTTAGTCGATCGCGTAAAATGGAAACTAAAAATTATATAATATGGAAATGGTCACCACAAAGTGACCAACCAGTATGTAAAAGTTGTGAACATGGAGTAAAGCGGATTTTAGACTTAAATAAAAACAAACGTTATAGACAAAACCCATAAATGAGAATTATAATCAAAGCTTATAGCTTAAAATGATGATTGTGACTGGTCTCTTATCCACTAGAATAAACAACTCAGTAGCTTGTATCTGACTATTTAAACAATAATCTTTACACACGATTTTTTTCAGATCCAAAATTATTTCACGATAAATTTCAAACATTTGAACTACATGTTTATATTCAATTACGCACGATCTACTTAGCTTACCATCGGAAATATAGCTTTTACAACACACGTTCCTAAAGACGGTTCATATATCAGCTTTCGACCTTGGTGATGGGATAAATAGAAGCGCGTAAATTCCTCTCGAAGAGCCACCATCTAAAACAACAGAAAAGTTGTACAAAATTGGAATAAAATAACCCAAATTACTATAGTAAATATTTAAATGAATATAAATTACTGATGGGTACTTTGAATCAGTCTCAATATTATACAATACTAATGTGTGGAGAGAAGAAAAACAATCGTTTGCTACAATGATGAATGGGAGTGTCTTAGTCCTAACTGGTTGAACCATAAGTTCAAATCACTAAGCACACAACACGATTAAAGAATATAAGATGTCAAATGCCCGTTATTTTAAATATTATTATGATGGTAAGGAGGAAAATAATGAAAAACTCATAACACTTTACAATCATACTTCGGTTAGTCCAGTTTAACAGTGCGTAAGCATCAATTAGCTATATAAATGGGTGAACCATACGATTATATTCCAAATAGCAAGTCAGAAGCCAGTAGGAAGCACAATAGGGGAAAACGTCGGTATATTTATAGTTTTTACATAAGAAGAATCCAGAATATTCTCCAACTATCGACTAGCGTTGATTGGATAAGAATTAGCCAATCAGCGTGCACCAAAGCAATCATGCATTGAGCATGCTTTAGTCTAGTCTATGTCCCGCTAACACCTCCCCTCTGAGCAGATTCGTAGGATCTGGTGCTAGGGTCCAACTGCAACTGAGTGACTGGCTTGTGCTTTCGATTAGTCCATCGTCTAGGCAATGAAGAATTATCACTTTTTCCTTGCACAGAGACTGACATGTCTGTTCCCGGCGTTTTGATTTTTCTTAAAAAAAAGTATGCATAACTTTTAATTCTCCAACATTCTCCTCCTCCGCGAAACAATGTCGGATCCTTATATCTCCAAGTTACAAATAATAGGACTTTATTTAAACGACGTTTCTCGCATTGAATGTCGGATCCACTAGAAACGACTAGATGATAATGAACGACCTTTGATTTGAGGTCAAAGTTTAATTCTTCTGAAGCATTACTTTCAAATCCATTAGGAATTTCATCAGTGGATAATGGATCATTACGGAAATAATCATCTAACAAAATTAAATTAGACTTTTGACCATAATTTGACTCAGCTGCTATATTTTCCTGATTTTTATGAGAAATTTCATCAAAATAACATGCATTGTTCTGAGAACCCATATCTGATACATTGTCATTAGAAATCGGATAAGCTGATTCAATATAAGTTTCTGTCTCACAATGATTTTGAGTAACATTCGGTATAATTGGGTTCGTTGTGTCACTGCAGTTATTTTCTGAATACGAGTCTCCATAGCTTGCTTGGCTAATATCACGTGGACCATGAATTTGTTCTAGCTGAAAGTTATTTTCAGAGCTAGACAGGACCAGTAGTGCTTCATTCAATTCTGGGCTCCGGGCTTCATCTACAGGGTCTGGCTCTTGATAATCTCGTATTGCCACAACTTTATGAGCATTCAGCACAGGATTTTCTTGCTGTGAGCCGGAAACGTTACAAATATTACGTTCTGATTCAGGTATAAAGGGATTTGAACCCTCCACTAGATATGCTTCTGAAATGTCTGTTACTGCATCATAAACAGATTTCTTATTTTCTGGTCGAGTGAAAAGTGTGCTCAATAGTTGTTGTTGCAAGGCTAACAACTTCTGCTGGTGCTGTAATATTAACCGCAACTGTTCTAAAGAAATCACCATTTTTCTTTAGTTTTTCCCCGTCGCCACTGTTATAACTCTATTTTCTTACGGTTAATGACCCAGCTATTCCTATTGCTTAGTATTGTCGGACACCGATTCACTCGACAAGTCCCCAAATCAGAACACGGTTGAACAGGAAAAAGATTATATTCCAAATAGCAAGTCAGAAGCCAGTAGGAAGCACAATAGGGGAAAACGTCGGTATATTTATAGTTTTTACATAAGAAGTTTTATCTGCCTTATAATATGAGGAAAGTAACGTATCGGCGTTTGTTATTACTAAGGTGATACGTCATTGAAACAGGATTGGCTATTTATAAGCATCCTAATTGTGCAAATTCTTCTGTGAATGTTCTGTCTGAAACTAGGCATTCATACAAAAAACGTATACCAGTTATTTCACGATTATATAACAAAATTCGTTAACGTACTTCAATAGTGGTTGAAAATGTCCAGTGGTAATAGTCTGTCAGCCTACAAATAACAGTTAACTCAACTATACTGAACCAGACGTATTCAATTATTTTATAAGTATATAATTAACTGAAACTATCATTTCCAGTTGACTCCTATTCGTTTTCCCATACATCCTTATCATATCTCGCTTTCTTCACACTTTCCCATTCACTTTCTTTATGCTACTGTGAAATGACTCACATTAGTATAGTCCTTTGTTTTGTCTGACTTCAAATGGTATTGACAAGCGAAGTACAGGGCAATCAGTTTGTTTATGAAATATTTTTCACAGATAATACTCACTTCAGGGGGGTAATTGGCTGTTGTCTGTGGATACGGTGGCCAAGATGCTGGACAAATCACATTTACGCTTAACTCGATCGCATGAGTATCAGGTAAAGATAAACGGAAATTTTTACTTAACTGCTTGCTTAATTCGATGTCCTGAAACATTGTCTCCATTTTGCGTGTATAGTTTGGTCCACATTCTATAAGTATTTTTAAAGAACCACGAATAGGAAAAATGAGTGTAACTGTAATTCTTTAAATTTCAGATAACTCTAAACACTAATAATACAAAATAAAGAGATGTACTTTTCTGAACTGACATTTCTTGAGATCTCTTCTATTTCAGTCGAATACTATACGAAATAAATCAAATTCTTAGAAATACGTAATCAAGATTAACAACTTAGATGGCATGGATTTAGCTGATCGCAATCAAATAAACGACTGCAAAAGCGAATATCTATCCCATTTGGAAATATTTTGATGCCCTAAAATCGTTTGCAATACTTATTAGTTTATACCTAGATCTTTAGTGATTCCGGACTGAATATTCCTAACCCACTCTTAAGATTTCTTAAGCTAGATTTATATTATTTTTATTATAGCCAAAGGCAATTTTCATCACTAATTCACTGTTTTAGCACGTAGTTCTGATGTCTGACTACAAATGAGGTTGTAAACAAACTATATACAATAGGTTTTAGCCAACCTAATCTTCTTTGATGCTCCCAATAAAATACTTACCTAAGATTTTATTTTTGGATTAACCGAGGCTAAGAAAGGGTGTAAAGTGTCCACATCTACTGTTCAAGGAAGTAAAACCCTATCAGTATCAGAAGGATGAAATAATTCAGAAGAGAACAAATAAACAATTAGTTGGTCGACAACTTGTCAGAGAACTAAGAAATTCAAGTAATTTCAAGGTCTTGGAATAAAACTCCTAATTATATCACGGCTAACATAAACAAATGTACTTAGTGTGTTTTGAATCACATTTGTGTTTTGGGCAGTGCGACTAACAACTCCAAAGAATGAGTGTAGGGATGATAACCAATGATATTTGTGAGTATATAGTAAAGATGGAGTCAGTTTCGAAACGTTCAACAACAAATACACATTACACCATAATATCGACATAAGATTTCTCGTTACAAAAAGTAACATCAGCATCAAAACCTAAAGTGCCAACCTAGTAACCACCAAGTGACCAATTTTAAATAAATCTATACAGTGAACACATCAATCTACTAGCAAAAATGGACGCTTACATTAATTAAAACAGTTCCAAAATATTGCTCATCAGAAACAAAATAATAATAACATTTCAAGCAAGCAGTCAAATCCTGAATTCTTACCTTGTTTAAGTTTTGACAGCATGGCTTTCTCTGCATCAACTGATGCACTTTTATTCAAAAGAAGACGTTTTGCTAATTCTTTGGTATAAAATGCTTCAAATATATCTTTTCCATCGATGAAACGAAACAGAATCATAGCCTGTGATCAAAATAAAGAAATTTGTTACGAGTGTTTCTGCAGTAAATTGACATTATTACTATGAATATGTAAGTATAAGATATTATTTACATCTTATATATAACTGTTATATCCGAACGAAAAATAAGTCAACGGTAACTGCTAGGAATTATTTATGGAAAATTATTCAGTCAGTCAGTCAGTCAGCTACAACGTGGGACCAGGCACATATATACATCGGTCCAAGTTGCCATACCTCATTAACACAACAAGATGGACACCGGATTCATAAAGGTAGTTAATTCAGAGGTGGTAATATATAAAAGAAAGATTGCAATAAGGATATAGTACAGGAAGAAAGAATTAGTTCGTAGAAAGATATGAAGCAATTTTAATCTCTTAGTTTAAGGGAAGACAGGGAGTGTATACACCGACGCCATTGTGATCGATTCTGAGCCATATCATCAAGAGTCTCCAACCATTGGTTACGATAGTCACGTGGACCACAACCAAGTAGTCTGCATCTACCAACATGGCCCAGACTAGATGTTAGTGACTTCAAGCACTGATGCCAAGTTTTGATTTGGCCGCCCCTAACTTTCTTCCAACCATCCCGAACACCGGTTAGCATTGCACGTTGTGGTAGTCGGTGTTTGGGCATACGTAACACGTGGCCCAACCATCTTAGTCAAAAATTATTACACATATTCGTACTGGATGATTATTAATTAACCAGATTACATATATATTCATATTCCTTTTATCATAAGCTACTGTTATAGGACTTACCATCCGCAATCTATTAGTTACAGTCTGCTATATTCACAGCCACTTTTGGCTTGATTTCGTATCATAATTATTTTTCATTTTATGGTGTGACGGGGTCTGGTTTGCTTGTATATAAATATACAATCCATACCGTGGAGGCCGATATTTCAGTTCTGACTCGAACGGGCTTAGTAGGCGAGAAGCTAATATATGGAGGACTAATAAGGATTCAGAGTTGACTCAAGGCTACTCGTGCTGGTTAACACATTACTGGTTTAGCACGGGGACAAGGTCATAGAAGTCAGTATTCTGACTGACGAATCCGTCACGTGATATTTGAAGAGGCATAGGACATTAGGATTTATCAAGAAATGGATAGATTTGAAAAACATTCAGTGGCATTTACAATTGGCCATATGACTAAGGAGAATATCTTTAGGGTAAAATGAAATCAGTTGGAAAAATAGCTTTAAAAAACCTAGACACAATCATAAGTTTTACAAATAGGGTAAACCACTTTTCTGACATTCGAATTCGCAGATAAAACCAAGTTAGACATTTAGTCAAACATCATTAATTCGGATAATTAATTGATATAGAGGCTCGTCGATGACAGAAACAAGAATACTCATTATGTATACCACTTATTCACTACAATCTAGAGCATATTAGTTCTGCGAATGTAAACAATGAAACTCAACGGTTGAGATTCGAGTATCTGGAACAGAATTCCAACATTTAATAACAAATTAAGAAATCGACCAATAAAATAATCATAAGGGTCAAGTAAATTAGAATCGTGCTACTATTAAAATATTTAGTCAATAGATAGCTGTTTGAAGAAATATCAGTCATGACAGATGACACATTAAATGTAAAATGTTTCACGGAAAAAACAACTAATGATTAGAAAACGACATAATGTTTACCTTATCCATTAACTTGTCTAATTCTTCTTCTGTTTGTGCTTTATTTCCAGATCTAAGATGAGAATCAAGATATTTAGCTAGAAACTCAGCCGGTTTGTTCGGACGTTGATTGATAAACTCTTCATAGGCTTCTTGTAGAACACGCATAAAGCTGGGATCATTTGAAAAGCACGATACAGTAATTTCCGAAAGAAAATCCCGTGAATCTAATAAATTTTGAATCATATTGCGATCTTTTTCAGGATCATGTGTTGGATTTTCCACCATTTCACGACCCATTTGTATGATATAATTACGGAAATGTGTCCGCAGTTTTTCTATACCATTGGGAACTCGTGAAACTAAAGAAAACAGTAAAGATAATTGGGAAGTTTGTTTTGTTTTCAATGGATTAACTAAGCCATTATCCAGTAGATAGTCTAGTGGACGAGTTAATAATTCCGAAACCAGAGTTGACATAAGCAAACTACGAGTTGAATTAGCATCTAAATACACAACAAGTCTATCTTCTTCCTCAATGATCCTTTTGTCCACATGTAACAAATATTCAGGAACACTGAGTTGTCTAGATAGAGTATCTGCTTCATAAGCGTAGAGTTGTTGACTTTTACAAACAAATTCTGCAAGGAATATTGAATCATAGAGCTAAGCAAAGAAATAAAAACGGGTACGACTAAGTAAACAGATCGAAATGTCATAAATAATAAATTATTTTTCCAAAAATATCTTGTTTTCTGCTCGAATATTTACCCCAATTTAGTTGAGCATTAAAATTTTCCCATAACTGCAATTTTATTCTTGAGTCAGTTTACAAAAAAAGTTGGTCGCAATAACATTTACAGAAATATGTTAAAATGTACGAAGAATGAAAAGACACATACGAATTGACTGACATAGCAATTCAGTTAGCTCTGTGATACGTAATCAGGTTTACAGAAATATATATTGACGTAGAACGTTGCATCAACTTAAGTGTTTTATGATATTTTAAAAAAACTGGGTCTAGGTTTCATCGAGAAAATAGAACAAATGTAATACATCAAAGTGAAGTAGTTAACAACTTATAGTCCTTGATGTAACATGTTGTTAAACGAGGCTTCCCACTGGCCTCCAACAAATCGTAATCAAACTATCATTATCCTAGTAACATCACATGCTTAAAGCTTACACTGAAACAGTTAATTAATCAAAAGCATGATGTTAATGACTTAGAGAGAAGTGACAATGAAGCAGTCAGGCATGACGATTCATGAAAATAGCAAATCACATATTCCACATTTATAATTGTTCATCATATGGTTTTTTCAAGGTCATCACAACCAGCTCACAATAATAAAATCCCATTTTTACCGATTAAATATCTAAGAGTTGGTTAAAGCTTGAACGTATATTACCTTTAGCAGAGTAGGATTGAAGAGCATCACGATGTGAGCTCAGTAGCTACAACACTACATCATCTAACCAGTATTAATGACTAGAGGTGAAAATTACTAGTATCCACCAACCAGTTATTGTGGATTAGGCATCAGTTTCTCGCAAGTTATAGACACACTTACTTACACCTGTTACTCGTCGTGGTAGAGCAGAGGCCGCCTACCAGCATTCTCCACCGAACTATGTCCTCGACAATTCTTTTCAGTTGTTTCCAGTTTCTATTCATCCTTTTAATGTCTGCTTCCAATTCCCGAAAAAATATGTTCCTTGGTTTTCCTCTTTTCCATCCCCTTTCAGAATTCCAAGTCAGCACTGGCCTCGTGATGTAGCTTGATGACTTCCGTGATGTATGTCCTATAAACCTCCAGCTTCTTTTCCTAATTTCCTCTTCATCTGGAAGTTGATTTGTTCTGCTACTGATAGTATCTGGTCAACGGACATTGAGTATCTTGCGTACAAATACTTGTACTTTTTTATGGTGACTGTAGTAGTTCTCCAAGTGTTAGCTCCGTATAGTAGAACTGTCTTGACGTTCATATTGAAGATTCTGACCTTGATTTTGGTTGACACTTGTTTTGAGGTCCATATGTTCTTCAACTGTAGGAATGCTGTCCTTGCTTTGCTAATCCTCGTCTTTATGTCTGTGTCAGATCCTCCTTGTTCATCGATGATGCTACCCAAGTACGTGAAAGTCCACAACTCTTCAGAGCTTCTCCACCAAGGGTGATTGGGTTAGTGTTCCTCGTGTCGTGCTTGAGGATCTTGCTTTTTCCCTTGTACATGTTGAGACCTACTGACGCAGAGGCTGCTGCAACACTAGTTGTCTTTACCTGCATTTGTTGATGTGTATGGGATAGAAGAGCCAGGTCATCTGTGAAGTTCAAGTCGTCTAGCTGCATCCAACATGTCCACTTTATTCCGTGCTTCCCTTGAGATGTGGAGGTCTTCATAAACCATTCAACCACTAGAAGGAAGAGAAAGGAGGAGAGTAAGCATCCTTGTCTAACTCCGGTCCTTACTTGAAATGAGTGTCGCCTGTCTCTCCATGCACCACTACAGTGTAGTCCGTCGTATGAATTCCGTATGATGTTGACGATTTTATGAGGTACACGATGGTGTCGAAGAATTTTCCATAAAGTCCTCCTACTACACTGTCAAATGCTTTCTCATAGCCAAGGAAGTTGATTTATAGTGACGAGTTACATTCAATTGACTCTTCAACGATAATCCGTAGCGTGGCGACTTGGTCTGTGCACAGCCGATCCTTACGGAGTCAGGCCTGTTGATCGCGAAGTTAGATGTCTACTGAATCCTTCATCTGCTTTAATGATATTGACTACTTTTAAACATGTAAGACACCAAAAAGTATGTGGTTAAATAATTATTCCTTTCTGGAAACACTGAGTTACCCACATAAATCAACCGCACAAATGAAGTTCGAGTACTTTGTTACTAACTCTAGCATACAAGATAACTTAAAAATTTTTGGACAATAATGGAACTTGATTCGACCTTAACACCGTGTATTCGTTTCACTCCTTAGATAACAAATATAAATTGTTTTAGAAAATAAGTATGCGTAGTCAAGAAATTAAGTTCAAGGTTCTTTTATATTCAATTGACAGATCCTATAGAAGAACGTGGGTCTATGACGTATTTTTATTAAAACCGTAACCAACAGGGCCGTACACAGCAATTCTTGTCACATTATAGACAGTAAAGCTTAAATAATCCAAACTTACTTTTAAATCCACCAACATTCTGATGACAGTACGTAAAAGTTGTCGATCAATAGCTTCTCCACATCGTTCTTTATGTATTTCATCCAGTATTTGACACATCAAACGGGATTGAACTTTCTCCTGAGTGATAACATCTTCTCGGAACAACTTAAGAGCTAGGTCCCTATGCAAATATTAAAAAAGCAATGATTATTACAAACAACTAAAACCAGTTGCATAAACGGCACACTTCATGCAGAATTTTTATGAAGTTCAAAATGTACGAATTTATATTGGTAAATTTACGAGTGGGTAGAATGGAAAAATGACATTATACACTCAAACATTAGCGTAAGCAAGTCTCCAAATATTGAATATGACAATTAAAAGTTGTCTACACTGCATATTTAAGGTGGTTAAACTGTAGGTCTAAATACTTCCTTTAAATAAGCAAAAAACAATATGTTTTTTCTAAATGATAACTCACCAAGCAGAAAAATCACCTACTAACAGCTTACTGTGTCGATGTAAATGAGTATCCAAGTATTCGGTGGGAAAGTTCATTTGTCAATGGCTTCTAAAACAAGTTATCTATTTGAATGAAGTACACACCATACAAAGAGAATTCTTAAAAAGTCGAAATTTCCCTGGAGTCAGTCAGTTAGTCAGCTAAAACGTAGGACCATGCACATATATACATCGGTCTAAGTTGCCATATTTCATTAGCACAACAAGATGAACATAGGATTCATAAAAGTAGTTAATTCAGAGGTGGTAATATTTAAAAGAAGGATTGCATATAAGGATATAGTACAAGAAAGAATTAGTTCGTAGAAAGAAGGATATGAAGCGATTTTATTCTATTAGTTTAAGGGAAGACAGAGAGTGTATCCCTGGAAACAAGGGAGTTAGATATCCATGGAGCAAATAACCGATATTTTCGTATGACTTAGCAACAGTTACAGTGTCTAAGATTTTAACTTACTGCTGAAGTAGCCAAAAATTTATTTTCCAGTACGGGGATTTACAAAATATGAGTTGATCAAGTTAATTAGATCAACTGAAAGGACCTTTCGTAACAATGATGACTCCTATAAAACCGTTGTAGACTCAAAGCTTAACTTTATCCTGACAGGAATAACGACTAGCAAAAATTAAGAACCATAAAAAGTAAGATCGATAAACGATACTAACACGGTACCTGTAACAATGGAACGTCGACTACAACTGTCAAACCCCATATAAATAAATGGAGCAAAAGCAAAAATACTGACCATCATATTAATGATTTGAAGAATGGTAGAAAAAACTCAAACGTAACTGATTTCCGTAATTTCATACACTTAGTTCTTCATATTTTCTTAAAGAGAGCAAAGTCGAGGATTTGAACAGAATAACATGAATTAATTTTATTTCGGAAAATTCTCATCAGCTTACAATCTATATTTTTAGAAACCAAAACTGAGATAAGGTTTACATAATTATAATAATAGAAATGGAAGTGTATCATCACGGTGGGATAGTGAGATTGAAGACACATAAAGTGTTGTAAACAAACAATGTGTGAAGGAAAATTCAGGATCACCAGACATAATAACAAGAGATCATAGAGATGAAATGATGAACTGATTATATGATGAAGCCTAACATTAATTAATAGCAATTGAGAATAACACGAGTTAAGTCAGTTAAAAATAAACTTATGAATTCGAAATTGATGCAGTTTAAATAAGAGGAGATAGCAAAAATGATGTAACAAGCTGACGATAAAATTATTATGGTAAGGGAAGATTTGCAACTATTTCCTTTCGGATAAATAAGTCCAGCTTGAGGTGGTTGATAGCTATAGCTTCTGCGAATTTGAAAACAATGGAATTTGACTGTCAGTTGGTGCTGAAAGATTTCAGTTTATCAGCCTAACAACTTATGTCACAAAGATGTTTAACAATAACACTGCTGAAAGCCTTTAATCCTCTATGACCTGAAACTTTTTGGGATATGTTCTTGGAGTCGAATGTAGGCTCTTCTTTGCCTTAGCAATGACAGCTTTGGCATGTACACATACATTTGTATGCGCAGTTGAGGGTAACACAAAAAGAGCATTTACTGATATTTGATTGGAGTAAAGGAATAGTTTTATACAGGACAGTCATCCGAGCTGTAGGACAAGTTCTGGTCAGTGTGGTATTTATTCTGTTTATTTTCATTGCAATATAGACACTCTTGAATCTAAGTTGAGCGAAAATAGGTTTTATGACGATTGTGTTTTTTTAGGTAGTCTTTACTTTTCTATATTTCTAAATAAATTCCTTTGGAAACCTGTTGTTCCCTGCTCATTTTCCAACGTTCATTATTTAACTCCTAGTGAATTGATAGTAAATATCATTTTTAATCTGTGGAAGTGTTTTGACAAGTGCCTTTTGTTAACTAATTGGACGAAAGCTGCTAAAATTCAGATGAACACCATTCCACGTTTCTCTTCGGCAAACTGAACGTCGAACTGCACCATCCTCCATCCGTTGTATGACAATGTCGATAAAGTTGAGCTTACCATCCTTTTCCTGTCACATAGTAAACTTAAGTTTTATGAGCATCTTTGTAGAGGTTTGGCAGGTGTTTCGCTTGTTGTAGATTATTACATATAATAAAAGTATCGTCAACATACCTTGCATAATAAACCATTTTATAAATCGATCCTTTAAGCTTGGTCTTTTCAATATTAGCTATGAATATATCTGCTAGGACAGGACCGAATGGACTTTCCATCACAACGCCTATTCGGCGACACGATGTGATCAAACTGAAACCAAACATCCTTATTTACGGCATTACATGTCATCAGTCTCACTGTTCCACCGTGATGATACACTTCCATTTCTACTATTATAATTATGTAAACCTTGTCTCAGTTTTGATTTTCTGAAAATATAGATTGTAAGCTGATGAGAACCTTACGAAATAAAATTAATTCAAATTATTCTGCCAAATTTTTTATTTTGCTCCCTTCAAGATAATCACTATATCCCTATGCTTTACTCAAGGTATCATTCAACAACGATTTATCAAAATAAAGCACTTTATAGTTACCAAGAGGTTAGTTAGCGATGAAGTTCGGTCACATTTCCATAGCTCATTGTTTTATAACAATTAGTGCTATCGCAAAAGTTGTATTAGGTACTCTATCGATATAAACGGAAAGTAGTTTGCCCTTATTTTTTATTATTCTAACAGCAAATCTTACAGTTCTAATGGTAAGTTCGCGACCTTTTAACCGATTACAACCCATAATATGATTCCCTGTATCGATTTTAGTGACTAGTTGGGATCACTAAGTACAATACGTAGCATACATTCAAAGTATCCTGTTTAAATGAGCTTTCTTATATTGGTAGGACTGGCAATCTATTGATACTTGGCCAATAACTCCTTTGAGCACTGCTTGAACTAGTTTACGTAGTTAAATGCAAGAGCAGGAACTAAATGAAACATTTAAGTGATAAGTCGAAAAATTTAACACAATCAAATGAATTCGTCCAAATTCCGCACTATCAGCGAGGTTTAGAACAAAACGAAACCGGAGAATCCCAGATTAAAAGATGGAAATATATAATGAAGACCACCACTTCGTAAAAATTCTACGTAAAAGAATAGGTTATTAGGATGAGGAGCTGGAGACGGATATATTTGGCTGGTTCGGGGCCACACACAGATCAGCAATATTACCCACTTACCTTTACAGAGGATGCAAGATGTCAATTTCTGCCACTTCCTTTACGTCAACATGCTTACCAATATGTTAAATACGGAATAAATATCCAAAAACTGGTGATTGCTAATTATCTATACTGAAATGAATCATTTTCGTAGATTTTCTGGACATCAAAACTCACAAAAACCATAATTTCTATTTAACTGCATCAAAAGAAAAAGTATTTTGCAGTCAGTCAGCCACAACACAGTACCCTGTATTTATACACATCGGTTTAAGCTGTCATATCCCGTTAGCACGAAGAGATGAAACCATCAGGCAAAATCTCAGAATAGAAGAGATAGTATTAGTATGAGTGGTAATACGAAAAACTAGGCATCGAAGATACGGCTTCGAAAAGAAAATACAAATTAGTGAATTAAAAGCACAAGCGTTATGAAGAATTTAGAATCTCAGGATTTGAGAGAAGACAATGAATGAATGCACCTGTATCATCATAAATGATTTTGAGACATGTCAGCCAGAGTGTCTAACCATTGGGTACGAGAATCACCCTGACCACAACAAGGTAGTCCATACATATTAAGATGGCTCGGTCCAATTTCCAACGACTTCATGAACTGATGCTATGTTTTGGTGTAACTCCCCTCGCTTTGTTCTAATCCACTCCTATATCAGGAAACATTGCCCATCGAGGTAGACAGTGGGTGTGAATACGTAACAGATATCCTACAAGCCTCAGCTGATGAAGTACTTTTAGATATCCTCTATTCCTAATGGTCGTGTTTCACACTCATAAAGTAGAGCAGAACGAACTGCCGAACAGTGAACTCTTCCTTTGGTTAGGATACAGATATCTCCCTAACGCAATAAGTAACGCAAGTTGGCAAAGGTAAATCGGACCTATTGAATACGTGGCATGATTTTGTCAGTGCGGTGCATCAATGTACCGGCATTGGGAAAAAGTAATCCTGGTCAGCCGTATGAAGTGTTATCTTTGTTCAAGGTGGCTTTATTAAACAGAATGCAGAGACAACCCAAGGTTCTGTTATCTCTAAATGAAAATTAGTGAAAAATTCGAGTTTGGGAAAAACATTTCAAAAAGCTACAAACAGCTACCATCCCGGCTACTTTATCCAAACTCCCATGCCCATCTGAAAGTAAGAGATAACTTCTACGTCTCAAATATAGTTATGAATACATTTGATTTACTTGGGAAATGCCACTAGCTTCTGTTAACATCTGATCTTGTTGACTAACATGAATCAGTTAAGTTATAAGAACAAAATACACTTGGAATGTGATGTTGTAGGTTTAGAGGAATCACGTCACATGACTGGTGAGTGTTATTTTACTCCTAATAAATGGAGTGGATCTAAGAAATGGTTTAAATTTGATATGACATTGTACTTAAGTTAAATGATAGCTGTTGAAATATTCCTTAGAAAACAAATACCTAGGAATTAGGATGGTTTAGACTGAAATTTCCAAAGAACTGGGCAAAATAGACAGTGCCGGCGAGCTATGAAATAAAATCCACAGGATCACAGAGGATTTTTATCAAGTATGAAGAAAACTACACAGCCTACTCACCATATTTGTAAGTTCTGAGGATTTAACTGAAGAAGTTGTCTATCCATGAAAAGAAATATATTCCTGATGAGAAGCTAAAACGGTAAGGGAGAAACGAGAGAACAAACCATTTTTTTACAGTACAATCCCCAACAGTGTGCCACTGCGTTGAGTTGGAAACCTACTGTGAAAGCGAAACGTCAAGGTAAAAAGACAAAAGAAGAGAAATGGCAAGAACTTATCAACAAAAAAGGATATTTTAAGAACTCAGGTTGTAGTCCAGCTACATATTCACTGAATATAGCCTTCAGGCTCGAGTACAATTCCATAATCATTTTTTGTGCACATATATCTTCGACATTCTTGAAAAAAATAATCATTTAGTATAAGCTATTAACCCTGTAAAGCTCCTCTAGTGTGGATTCGACAGGCTCGCTGAGAAAAACTGCCTTTGTTGCCCTCTGAAGCTTTAAGCATGAGTCTTGGTATATTTGTGAAGCTGAAGGAAGTCCTTTAACATCTGAAGGTAATAAGCACATACAACTACCTACCAGAAATCGCCTTTAAGGAAATGCGTTTCGCTGTAGGGCCACAGTGATCAACTGCATGTGACAGTGTTTTTCGGAACCCATTGACTGACGCCTTACACTCCATAATTATTTAGATCATAAAAGCATTACGAAACTGTAGCGAGACTACTTCAAAATACCCACAGAACCGATTTTACATTTCAAATGTGTGTAGTAAGAGCAGAAGACCTATAACTTCTGTTATTCCTTTTCTAGTATGATTCTGTGGGTACCTAGTATTCCCTTCAATGAATCACTTGAAGATGTGGACACCACTGCCTCGGATAAGAGGTTCCAAGAATTGATGACTCTGTGAGAAAATCTGTATGACACTGGTGTAGCGGTAAATAAATCCCCAAAATAAATAGCTCTAAGTTTTCGACATTGGATGCTGACCATATGTTTTAGTGGACTCATCTAGCTGAAGGCGCTCGGTCATGCATCCGCACCAGATCACGTGTGGTAACGCTGTGCTCAACATCAACCGCAATCGCTAGCCAGATAAGATCAGAGAATTCCTATATATTGGTAATCGCCAAATACACTCTTCCGATCTCCTCGACTCCGCCTTTTGATATCTCTTGGTGGGTACGAATTATATTAGGTGTTGCTGGTAAAAGCGTTGTCACACTGAATACCTGTGCCATCTTCACTGGTGAGCCTAACGTGATCTGGTACACCAAATCGTAAACCGTGAGTCCGTTCCTTTTTGGGATTCTTATATATTATTGCCTTATTTTTTATTTCTTTTATACATTGTGATATTTTTTCCCGCGTTTTTGGATATCTATATATTTTTCACTCGTGTATTCTCGTACTTAATATTCCCCTATGACCGAACAGACTCCTAAGGTATTTAAGACTAAGACCATGTCACCACCCTCGTTCCAACTCATGCCTTTTTGGCCCGACAATATCGAAGCCTGGTTCTGCTACGCAGAAGCCGACTTCCACGAGCACGCCGTGAACGACATACGTGCATGATCCCTCGCAGTAGTCAAGGCACTACCACGCGAATCCAACAGGTACGTAACACCTAGTATGTTTACTAGTGATGTTTCTGGACCCTACGAAACACTGAAACGTTCTATCCCTAAACGAGGAGACCTAACCGATCGACAAAGGTTAGACTAGCTCTTTAATAACATAGACCTGCAACACGGTTCTGCGACAGACATGTTGCAAAGGATGAGAGAGGTTATAGGACTAAGAACTTTCGACGAAGGCCTATTCAAACAGCTTTTCTTGTCTAAACTTCCCCAACAGGTGCAAGCGGTTCTGGTCTCGTTTCAGAACAACGCCTTAGACGAACTGGCTGCATCTGCCGATCGTATTTTAGAAATTACGAAATCTACTGCCGAGGTTTTTTTCAGTCAAAGAAAAACCTCAAACGACTCAGAATGACATAACAGAGTTATGTCATACACTTACGCGTTATCTTAATTTTCGTAACGACCGTAAGAGATCACACACCCCACGTAGAAGCCCTTCACGTAAGCGATCTGTCTCTAGACCACGAGAGACGGATAATCCCGGCTGGTGCTGGTATCATAACCAGTATGGAAAGTCTTCCAGAAATTGCAGAAAACCCTGCAATTTTCCCGACTCAAAACCGAGTGACTCGAAAAACAACTCGGGAAACTTCCAAGCCGGCACGCGTTAACGGCAACCGTAGCTGGCGAACATAGCCGTCTGTTATATGTCACAGATGTGACAACGAGAGTTCGCTACCTCGTCGACACTGGCGCAGAAGTTAGCGTTCTCCCAGCGAATCCCAACGAATCGGCTCTAAACTTACAGGCGGCAAACGGAAAACCGATCGCTACGTATGGCAAAAGGTACGTTTACCTTAACGTGGGTTTACGCAAACCCATCCACTGGGTCTTCGTTGTTGCAGATGTTTCTATGCCAATCATTGGTATGGACCTTCTACAACATCATAATCTAATCATCGATACTCGCAAACGAAGGCTAGTAGACAGAAGCACTAATTTATCCGTTTGCGTAACTTCCTTCTTTGGTTGCAGATTATCCCCAGTCACAATTAAGCATATGATAGACCCACTTTATCAGCCACTTCTCGATAAGTATCCTGGGATACAACAAACGCAACCGAGATTACCGTGTGTAACCAGCAACGTTACACATCACGACTACAGGACCACCTGTATTCTCTAAAGCACGACGACTAGCTCCTGAAAAGCTAAGGTTAGCGAAAAACGAGTTCGACCATATGATAGACTTAGGAATCATACGACCGTCAAATAGCCCATATGCATCTCCGTTGCACGTGGTCCCTAAAAGGGACGGCAACGATTGGCGTTCAACCGGTGACTATCGGCGATTGAACGCGAAAACCATTCCCGATCGTTACCCGTTGCCTCACATTCACGATTTGACAGCTACCTTGAAAGGTACAACTGTCTTTTCGAAAATCGACTTGGTTAAAGCGTATAACTAAATCCCTATGCCTACTGACGACATACCGAAAACAGCCATCATAATTCCCTTCGGACTCTATGAATTTTTGCGAATGCCTTTCGGTCTAAGGAATGCTGCTCAAATATTCCAAAGATTCATAGACGACGTTTTTCGAGGTCTCAACTTCGTACATGCGTATGTTGATGACTGTCTAATCGCAAGTCCGGACAGAGAAACACATCTCAAGCATCTGGATCTTGTTTTCGAACGACTACAAAACCACGGCATTACTGTAAACGTTCAGAAATGCTAAATCGGAGCTGATTCATTAGACTTCCTAGAACACACTATAGATGCTCAAGGCATTCGACCCTTTAGGACCAAAGTGGCGGCAATTCTGGATTACTCAGAACCGACCACGATCAAGTCTCTACGAACGTTTAACGGCCTTGTAAGTTTCTATAGAAGATTCGTACCGAAATGCGCGTTACTCATGAAACCGCTAAACGACCAACTTCGTGGAGATGCGAAATCCATTAATTTGGACGACACCTCACGAAAAGCATTCTCCACAGTTAAGGAACTGATTGCTAAAGCAACAATGCTCGCACATCAGGACACCGAAGCACCCATTAGTATCGCAGTAGTCGCATCCGACTCGGCAATCGGAGGAGTCCTACAACAATGGGTTAACAACTCATGGCAACCCTAAGCATTTTCCTCTAGAAGGTTGCTAGACACCGAATCGAGGTACAGCACATTCGGTAGGGAACTCCTAGCTATGTATTGTGCTGTACGACATTTTCAACACTATATCGAAGGCCGTGAATTCACTCTTTTCACGGACCATAAACCGCTCACTTTCTCGTTAAGCTCTCCTTCAGACAAGTACTCTCCCCGTGAGTCTCGACAACTGGACTACATTTCGCAGTTTACTTCAGATATTCAACACATCTCTGGAGCAAACAATGTAGTTGCAGACGCTTTATCTCGCGTAACTTCCTTGAACAGTTTCTAAGGGATTGACCTTCTTAAGCTCACCGAGCTTCAAAAAGAAGACAGTGATCTTCAGCACGAGTTATCGTCCACAACACTTAAACTACGCATCAAACAGATGGGAACAGGTAAGGAAACCTTACTTTGTGACACATCTACAGGTAGGGATCGCCCAATCGTGCCGAAACATTATCGACGCAATGTCTTCAACACATTGCACAAACTTTCGCATCCAGGTGTTCGTGCAACCATCAAGCTTATAGCAGAACGGTTTTGCTGGCCTGGCATGAATAAAGACGTGAGGGAGTAGACACGCTCCTGTGTAAGCTGCCGAAAATCTGAGGTTATCAGACACAACAAATGTCCCTTAGGCTCATTTAAAACTCCCGATGCTCGTTTCGACCATGTTAATCTGGATTTAACAGGACCTTTACCAGATTCAAATGGGTACTCTTATCTCTTAACCTGCGTAGACCGTTTCACTCGATGGCCAGAGGCAGTACCTATCAAGGACATCACTGCTGAGACAGCGGCCCGCACCTTCGTCGAACGATGGGTAGCAAACTTCGGCTGCCCTCCAACAATCACTACAGATCGCGGACGTCAGTTTGAATCTGAACTTTTCCGTCGTCTGACCACTCTTTTAGGAACCACTCGCTTCCGAACGACCGTCTACCATCCACAAGCAAACGGGTTGGTAGAACGCTTTCACCGACAACTAAAAGCTTCACCATCAGCTGCAAACGTTTCACAGTGAACGGACGCTCTTCCACTCGTCTTACTAGGTATCCGCAATGCAGTGAAAGCTGACATTGGATACACTGCGGCTCAACTCGTTTATGGAACGACACTTCGACTTCCAGGAGAATTCGTGGATTCTTCGTCCTCTTCAATGAACATGGATCTAACCTCCTACACGAACAGGCTTACAAACGCAATGCGTTCAGTTAAACCTGCTTCCACTCGACCTCGATCAACTGATGTTTTCGTTCAACCTGACTTACGGTATAGTACACACGTTTTCGTTCGTCGAGACTCGCATCGACGACCCTTTGAATCAGCATACGAAGGACCTTTCAAAGTTCTTCAACGTGAATCTAAGTACTATATAGTCGATAAGAACGGAACAAACGATAGCATCAGCATCGATCGCTTAAAAGCAGCGTATTTAGAAGGAAATCTTATCTACGTCGATTTTCCTTTGGTAAAATCGAACAACACGACTCCACTCATAATTCCTCAAACGACAACCAACACTAGCGATGATACTCCGAATGTATCTGAAAATAAACTTAAAACGACGCGTTCTGGAAGAAGAGTAAGATTTCCAGAACATTTAAACGACTACTGCACGTAAGGCACTACTCGACATTTTATATTATCCCGATCTTTCTTTTTACGATATATAATTTTGTTTTAAAAAAAAGAATTTTAACATGCTTATATATTTTTATTTTTATTTCAGAAAAAACAAACAAGAAACAAAAAATTTTTCGAACGCTTTTAAGTGTGCATAAGTTTATTTTCCATTTTTTCGCCGACATTGTGTTTTTACGCACAAACGAGTGTATTTCGAAATGCACTTACATTCACTTTTTTCTTTTCCAGGACGGCTGGAAAAGAAAGATGCAGTTTACGAGGAGTCGAAATTTTCATTGTATTTTTTCA